GTGGTGGAGTCTGCAGAATTGGAATTTTTTTCTTTCTCAAACCAGATTATACCCCACCTCCCACGCGCCAGTCTCCCTTCTCAACATTTGTGGTTTAGGGAAGAGGGAAAGAAGCCTGAGAAAGCTCCCACAGCTCGAGCACATGCCGTCAGAGGGACTGGATCAGGCCCCCGAGAGAGTACGGCTGGCAGGTGGGCGTGAGGAGCCGGATCCGGTGTCTGGCACTCACGCTCAGTCAGTACGTGCTGTCTGCCCTGCGGGGCCTCGGTGGCTGCCTGGGTGAAAACATGCCCTGTGCCGGGAGGAGCAGACCCCAGAGGCCCACGTAAGAGATGGTGAACCCACAGCCCAGGAGGCAGAGGGGCCGCCCGACACACGGCTGGCTGGAGGCAGAACCAGCATCTGTCCGCTGTCAGACGACCTCCCACCGGGACGCCCAGTGTTCCCTAAAAGGAGCAACTAGGCTGGACCTGCAATGGTCGCACGAGGCTTTGCGTGCCGGGAAGAGAGTGGGTCCCCCAGTGTGGCCCATGCGGCTGCTGCAGAAGAGCCGGCTGGTTCTGGGATGAGAGTGGGTCGTGGCCGGGGGCTCGTTGACAACAGGACCGACAGCAGTGACACACATGCGCTTTCATCTTATTCTATTCCAGCCACGAAATGCTGTCCCGTTGTTTAGGCCAAGTGTTGTTCTGACGCTTCCAGTCCTTGCCAAACTGAGACCAAACCATCTCCTTCCTACGTGAGCTGCCGCAGGTGGCTAACAAATTCGAACATTGCTCTTTATCAGTAAAAAGTTAAAACCGCGTCCCCTGTGTTTGTGGCAAGGCTTCTTTTGCAGAAAACACAAAGCCTTGTTTACGTTTCCTTTGCCCTCTGGAAATGCTCCGCCTGGGCCAGCTCCCGCTCTGATTTCAGGACGCCCCGTCACCCTCGCTGTGTTTTCAGGCGAATGTGATTCAGTGCTTCACGGAGAGCCTGCACCGTGTTCCCTACGGGATCGCGGGCGAGGGGCCTCGGCCCTCAGGTCTCCTGTCCTGCAAAGTCAGGACTGCACGCGGCCGGGAAACTAACCAGTTGGATGGAGTTGTCATTCACCCCATTTAGGAATGAGGTATTTGTGAGGAAAAGAAAAGGAAAAAATAGCTGATACAGTCACAGAAACCCTCACACGCTGCCTGCTCTGTGCCAGACCCTGTCCAGAGCACCTTCCGCGTATCACTTCATCTCGTCCTCACAGTAGCACTGTGAAGAAGATACAGTTACTCTACTAATTTCGCAGATAACAAAAAGGACACAGAGAGGTTAAATAACTTGTCCAAAGCCACACAGCTGATAAGCAGCAGAACCAGGATGTGAATTGAGGCTTTCTGGCTCCAGCGTCCTGAGAGTTGGTTTTGTACAGTGCATCTGCCGAGACTAATTTGTTTCCAGTAAATTTGTACACCTTCAGAGTAAAGTTGAAATACTCGCCCAGTTACACAGCTCTCTGTCTCTTGGCTAGTCTGTGTTCCTAGAAGAAAAATCTGGAGGCACTGTGTGTCTGTGATTGTGGAATCAAGCAGAGTAACCTGGGTTTGGAGGCAGAAAATGTAGTTGAAAAGTTCCTGCTTTCCTTTCTCTATGCCACGTGGGCTCAGCCACAAAGCCGGCTGGGACTTATGCAGTAACCACCTGGGGGAGAACACCAGAGAGACAGGAGAAGTGACTGCGTTCTTGAGTGAATCTCTGCGGGTCATGTCAGCCCCAAGGGTGGCCCGGCACTGTCATCCTGGCCCCCGGGGGTGGGCTTCATGGTAGCTGGCTTCCTTATTGAAAGCAGGTGGAAATCTTGGAGAGGGATGCCAGGCTGTGGGAGTTGCTGAGGGGTGACACCCCCTGCCACCTGCTGACTCTGTCTGTCACGGTTCCATGGGGACCCCTCCACCTCAAAGCTGGACCCACACTGCTGAAGGACAGGAAACAGGATGTGGCCTCAAGAGGAAGGGTCTGCCAGGGCACAGGCAGGGGATGCGGGATCCCAGCCTCTCAGGGCAGGCGAGTGACTGGCCCCCGGAGGGAAACCAGAAGCCAGCCAGAACACATGGCTAAAGCCTAGACCCGTTAACCAGACAGTCCTGGCTGGAGTCAGGGCCTGAGCACAGCCCTTGGGTATGTGTGTCCTGCATGCACCATGGTTTAGGGAAGAAATTCTGACTCTCACCCTGCCCCTCAGCGGGGCTCCGCTCCCGAAGCGGTCTGGTAGGATGGAAGAGCTGGGTTTGGGGGCCAGAGAGCTCTGAATCGGAGCTCAGCTCAGCCACATGGCCTCGCATGGTCACCTGACCTCGCTGACCCTAGGTCTCCTGCGTGCACAGCAGCCGTAGTGGTTCCTCCCTCCTGGGTGGTCGTGCAGGTGGATACCACGGCAGAGCCCCTGATGCACAGGACTGACACGCCACCTGTTCTGACCACTGGGCTGGCCAGCTGGCTCCGCTGGACCCTGTTCTGGCATTTGGCTGAGCTTGAGGATCGAAGGCCGTTAGTGCTGGAAGCTTTGGGCACAACATAAGCTTCCTGTGTGACCACAGGGCGAGTGAGCTCATCTCTGAGACACGACCGCCTTGTCTGCAGCTGGGGACCATGATGATGAATGTGCTTTGCTACTTCTCCAGGTCCCTAGAGGGCAACAGGAGGTGTTAGATGGAAGTGGTTGTTGTTATAAAAATAATAGTAATAACACTGATTAATATTTTTGAGGGCTTATTTTTTGACAAACGCTAGTTTTAAGAGCTTCCCACGTCTTCCCCCGATTTAATTTTAATCCTCTAACAGCTTTGCCAGGTAGACTCCTGTTTATCATTCCTGTTTTTCAGTTAGTTAAACTGAGGAACAGAGAGGTTAAGTAATTTGCAAAAGGTCACACAGGTGGGTGGAGGCAGACCTGGGATTCAAACCTAGTGAATCCAATTCTAGAACCTGCCCAGTGGAGTCGTGATGACTGTGCTCGTATTGGCCTCCCTGTTTCCATGTTTCTTTCCCACAGAGGTGTCGAGTTGGCCATTCTCTAGGTCTAAGTTAGGGCTGTAAGCCGTGGTAATAGCTCCCAGAAGGCACCTGTGAGTTAGTCTCTCCACACTCTAGGTCCCTCAGACGCCTTAGGACATGTGTGCTTGGATCTGTGAGCAGACACGCCCGTGGGCTGAGTGTGTGTGTAGGTGGATTATAGAAATGTGCAGAGATGTTGGAATAGGAAAGTGGAGAAGCAGGCACGCATGCAATCAGCGATGGGCTTGTGGTTCTGCCGTGAAGGTGACTATTATTCGTTGGCTCACGTGAGATGAACAGTGTCCTTGTGGTAACACAGTGAGTGACGGTGGTGCTCACTCTGTTTTCTACCACACGCACCATAAATGCCGTTCACACCTGTGACGCACTCACGCGGGGCTGCCCAGATTTTGACAGCAGGTCTCCCTAATATTTTTGTGGAAAGAGAAGCAAATAATTAATCGTTTATTTTTAGCATTTATGAAAGCATTTTACAGGCTTTTGGGTGGTTAAATTAGCTAGTTTAGGTATCTCAAGAAAAGGTTGTTTTTCTACAAAGTGCCATTAAACTCAACAAATTTGCTATGTTCTGCCTATGCTGTCCATTGTGGTAGCTTCTAGCCACATGTGGCTGTTTAAATTTAAAATTAAACGCTCAGTGCCTCAGCCACTCTAGCCATATTTCATGTGCTCGGTAGCTCAGCCTGTGGCTAGTGGCGACCACATAGACAATGCAGATTATAGACCATTTCCACCATCACTAGACGGTGGAAGGTGGGATATACTCAGGATGCAGTGATGACCAGAACATTCTAGATGCCTGCCCTTTTAGGCTTCTGGTCATGCAGAGAAGATAGTGCTTTAACAAGCCATCCAGGTTGGGGGCCAAGGCAGGACAGAGGGCAATGGGAGGGTATGGCCGGGGAATCTATGCAAGGATGGGGGTCAGGGAACATGGAATTGAAGAAAATGCCATATACGTGAATAACAGACCAATTTAAAAAATGTATTGAACTTAATTTTTAATAATTAAAACAAACATACAGTGCGATTCCCTTTATATGAGATTTAGAGCAGGCAGAGTTAGTCTGTGAGGATAGAATCAGAGCTGTGGTTGCCTGGAATGGGGGTGGGGGAGTGGATGTAGTGGGATTGACTACAGAGGATCTCGGGGTACTTTCTGGGATGTTGATGATGTCCTATATCTTGATCAGGGCATCGTTTTCGTGGGTATGTGCATTTGTTCGTACTCGTGGAACTGTGTCACTAAGATCGGTACGTTTGCTAGAAGGTAAATTGTATCTCAATTAAAATTGAACACATAGAATTCTATATTGTAACGGGTTATGGTTGCTGGGAATGACACTCTGGAAATCCTCGTTGCGTCCTCCTGTGTCTGCCAGTGCCCCTGCCTTCATAATCCTCACCTCATCACCATCCAGAAGACTGCCAGCTCCTTCCTGACCTCACGCCATGTGGATAGAAATATGTTCCTCCCGCCCTTCCAGTTGTCCACACTTTCTTTACCAAAAGTGGTCCAGCTGGAAGGATCTTTGTCAGAATGTTAAGAATGGTGCCATTTTGGGGTGGGAAGATTTGAGGTGAATTTTCTTTTTCTTCAGTGTTATTTGAGTCTGTCACAAAGAGCATGATTTTTTGGTAATTCTCTGAAACACAAAAGCTCATTGTCTTGGCATAGAAAGTACATTTCTCCAGGGGTACTAATCGTCATTTGGAACTTTGGGTTTTATACTGTGGTTAGTAACAAACTCCCTTCAGGCAGCGGGCTCTGTGGGCGACCGTTTGGTCGTCAAGGGGGCTCGTAAATGTGTGATTTCATGCCTTGTCCGCCTCCCCCATGTGCTCCTGTCCCATCTTTCTATGATCCTGGGGCACGCTGGAGTGGGTCTGGGGTGATGGAGGCGCTGTTCAGCTGTCCGCCCCTCTCACCTGCCTCCTTGGCCCTGTGCTCACAGATTCTTTCCTGACGCTCGATGAACCCATGAACAACATCACCACGTCCCTGGGGCAGACGGCCGAGCTGCACTGCAGAGTGTCTGGGAACCCACCGCCCACCATCCGCTGGTTTAAGAATGACGCGCCTGTGGTCCAGGAGCCCCGGAGGATCTCCTTTCGGGCAACCAACTACGGGTCTCGGCTGCGGATTAGAAACCTCGACACCACAGACACGGGCTACTTCCAGTGCGTGGCCACGAACGGCAAGAAGGTGGTCTCCACCACTGGAGTCTTGTTCGTCAAGTTTGGTAAGCAGACTCCTCTGGGGGCAGCCTGTGTCCCTCCGCCTCCATGGGGGAGAGGAGGGAGGGAATGAGCACATCGGAGACCTTCTCAGGTGTACGGTGCCCGGCAGCCTAAAGCTGGTGCACTTGCACCCACTTTGCAAATGAGTAAACCGAGGCCCGGGAGTTGGGTACCTTGCTCAGGGCTGCCCCTGAGCTAGTCAACAGCAGAGCAGGGGTGCAGTGTGGACCTGTCTGTGCCTGCAGCCCTGCTCTTAGCCCCCAGGCCAGGGAGACAGAAGATGGGGAGAGTCCCAGCGTGCCTGCCCGCTTCTGCCCTGTTGCCGTCAGGACACTGCTGTCGCATCAGTGTCCACACAGCCACTTGGCTCCCCCTGGAACCGCCCTGTGCAGTGTGAGCGTGCCTGCCATCTTGACTCACGTTTCAGCTTCTTGTCTTAGGGTTTTTTGGCCCTGAGCTGTGGAGGTTGGCAGGTTCTCACCAGTGTGCTTTTTGTAGAGGTGGATTGGAGGAACTGAAGCAAAATAATAAATCTCAGAAAAATAAATATCCCCCTGGGGTGGTTCAGAACTTTAATCTGCAATGACTGTACCCTGGCTCGCCCTCCGATAGCCCAGACTGACCATGCCTTTGTTTTCCTTTCATTTCTTCAGGCCCCCCGCCCACCGCGAGTCCGGGATCCTCGTAAGTACTTTTATCTCCTTGCTTGTCACTTCTAAGCGTTTCTCCAGAGGTTTCTAGGGCAAGGCAGTATTGTCCTCTGCTTGGGCCAGAACACTGTTTCCAGATTTCATTCCATCTTGCTCCTTCTCGGACATGAAGATGCTCGGGAGACCAGCGTTGGCGGTCATCTCAGCGTGGTAACCTTGATTGCGAACGATCAAAGCAAAGACCTACTTATATTTACTATTTTAAAATTAACATTTGACCAAACAATGGGTTTGATCAAATCAAAAAAAATTAAAACAGTGCTGGCTCAGTGACCTGTCCTCTAGCTTCCAGCTTCAAAGGTTCTGATCTACATTTCTCCAGCATTTCTGGTACTTTAATTACTAAACAGGTCAACAATTAGCTGATCGCTTTATTTTTATTCCCTTGAAAGAACTCAGAGGCAAAAGTTCTGACTTCTGAAAGGAGACGAAAGCCCACTGCCTGGATTGAGAGCTACGTGGAAGTTCGATTCATTTCCAGCCCCTTTTTACGGAGTCTACATAGCCAGCTTCTTTAACTGACACTATTGTTGACGTGTTTGTCCTTTATTCTGGCTAAGGATCTCTTCTGTTGCTCTAGGAGCATCTACTTGGGGCATTTTTCTTTATGTATATTTTTATTTGCATTTATTAAAATCTTTGCTCTGCAAGAAAATATATTCCATGTTTTGTAGACTTCCAAAGAAAAATTCCCCGGGCTCTGCCAGGAGAGCATCACAATGTCTGACATAGACGTGCTGTGCCCCACGGCCCGCTGAACGGCCACTTAATGTGCTCTAATCCCCTCTATGCCTCTTAATTACAGTGTGGGATATTTTAATATGTTTGTGTGTGCCTGGAGGCCCCAGGGCCCCAATCCCAGTAATAAAACAGGTAGTGGGTAAATATAAACACTGGCCTTCAGCCCCACCGTTTGCTATCTCATCAGCCAGTTAAAGGCTGTCAGTCTTTGAAATCCCCAGAGTGTTGATGGCATTCCACTTGCCCAGGGAGAAAATGCTGATTGATCTTGAAACAGGTCGGAAGTTTGGTCCCTCTGCCTTGCATTCCGTGAAGTTAATCTTTTTTTTTAGTGATCTCTCTACTGGTTGATAATTGGAATCCTTTTGAAGTCTTATTTAAACAAAGATGAAAACTTCTGTTACTTCCTGTAAAAATTCCTCCCACCTAGTCCCTTATTTGTTCCTATTAATCGGTGTTTCAAATGTGGCTGATAATCTGTACCCCGGGTGATTAATGTGGTTCACTAATCTGCCTTTCCTATTAAGCGCTGGGCTGGGCTGTTGACTTTCTGCCTGTTGTGTTTGCAACAGAGTTCTTTTTTTATTATTGAAATTATTTTTAAACACTTGTGCGTCCTTGCTTCTCGAGGTTTACGTTCTTTCTTGGCTGCCCCCTTTCTGATGAGCCCAGTGTGCCTCTCCCATGGGTTTTGGTTTTGTACCGAGGTCGGGTGCCCCTTTCGTGAGCTGAGGTCTGTGGAGAGGGCACTGAAGTTCCCTGAGGATGCTCAGCCACGGGGGAAGCTGTCCTTGGAGTCAGGCTCCTCTGCTTCACGTTAGCCGCCGATTATCCATCACGTTAGTGGGCAATAGTGTATCGTGTGCAGTTGCCATGTTTGCATGGAGCGAGCTACGATAAAATGCAGTCAGAGCTGGAAATCCCCTGGGGCCTTGTGCACTTCAATCTTCGTCCTCTTTTTGGCATTGCTGGTTGGCATTTTGATACCCGTCCTTCTCTTTCCCTTGGAAACCAGTGCCGTGTCCTATTTTTTTCTCCTTTCTCATGTGCCTCCACCCACCCCTGTCTCTGAGAGTTCGTCTTCTCCTCCGACTGACTTCTGGATAGAGCCCTAGCTCCCCTCCCTAGCCTCATAGCCCCCAAGGAGCAGCCGAGACCCCCTCCAAGGGGACAGGTGGACGTAACAAAGTCACAGCTAGGGGGAGTGTCCCAGCATTGGGGTGGCCCTGAAAGCCTTTTCTGAGGTGAGTGACATGCAGAGACGGCCTGCTCTGTTTACTGGGGGTGGCACAGCAGAGTTACTGCAGAGACCTCGGCTGGAGGTCCATGATGCACCCCAACGTCGGGCAGCACGTGGGTCAGGTGTGTGAAGTGCGGAGAGCCTGGCGCTGTCTGAGGCTCGGGGTCCACAGCTCCCAACTGGCACGGGCTCACGGGGCCCTGGGACCGTGGCCCAGGAAGGCAGAGCCTTGAGTCACTTGTCCCTGCCTCTGGGGACCGCATCGGGTTTCCACAGGCAGCCTACAGGAGAATGGCTCCTGGTGGCAGGGGCAGGTTTGAGGTTTTGGTTTGGCTCCTGTGCATGGCTTCAAGCCTGGCTTCCCGTCACTGCTGGGTCCTGGCCCACCTCTGATGACGGCCGGGCATAAATGCAAGTGGGGGCCGGTTACCACGTGTCCGAGTGTGTGAAGTCATAAATCAAGCTGGCAAACTGTTACATGAAGTGTGTTCCATCCTCCCACGTTGACAAGTACACCTTCGTAATGACAAAATGAAGAAATACCTGTAAAGTTACTGACTGAAAGCCAGGAACTGTCAAAAATGACTACTTTAGTCATTATTGTGCTTGCCTGGGTTTTCTGTCCATGAGCCATAGATATGATGTGTACTTCATAGACTGCTATATATTAGTTCCATTAAATTTTTTTATTGCCTTCATTTCAGCAAAATGACTATGTTGTTTTATACAAGATTTTTACATAGTGTGTATTCTATTGACAACAATGCCAGATTAGACAAAACATTCTTGAGTCATTGTAATTCTTACTTTTTAAAACCAGTTTTAATCTGGAGAGACTGCTCTCCCCTGAGCCAGGAGCAGCTATAATTGATTATCAACGAAATTACTAAAGCAATGCTTAAATTTGCTAAGAGTTTTAGCAAATGAACTAAGAATTTTATATATCATGTTCAAACATAGTAATGGGGTCATGTAATAAATAATCAGGGATGCAGAATATATTATAAAATATTATAATTTCATCATAAAAATCAGTATCATGCCTCACATGTTATCCCACATATGTACGAATTTACGAGTAATAAGAATTGCTTACTATGTTAGCTTTCTGAGGCTGTTGTAACAAAGTTCTGCAAACTGAATGGCTTAAACAACACAAACTTAGTGTCTCAGTTCTGGAGGCTAGCAGTCCGAGCTGAAGGTGTCGGCAGGGCTGGCTCCTTCTGAGGGCTGTGAGCAAGGCTTGATCTCTTCTTCTGGTGCTTTGCTGGCGTCCTTTGAGCTGTAGATGCGTCACCCCAATTTCTACCTTGAGACTCACACGGCGTTTTTTCCCTGGATGTCTCCAAACTTCTCCTTTTTAGAAGGACACCAGTCATGTTGTAGACCCACCCCAGTGACCTCATTTTAACTTGATTACCTCTGTAAAGACCCTATTTACAAATAAGATCACATTCTGAGGTACCAGGGACGAGGATGTCAGCATATGAATTTTAGGGGACACAGTTCAACCCGTAACATTTAATGTTGCAAAATGTTTTTCAGCTTTGTGAAACTCTTGCAAATATTATTCTACTTTGGGAGAACTTTCAGAAGCGCTGATTGGCATGTAAAGAAAAACAAAAAAGTGGATGCCCGCTAACACTGGGAATGGTAGTCTGTTGTGCAAGAATCTACTGCGTTCAGACTGGGAGGAAGATTTGACAGGTCCATCGATTGGTCTCTTCTCTTGCTGAAGTCTGTTGCCGCTACAGTCCTTTCTGCGCTCCGAGCAGTGCCCATCCTCCCCTGGCCACGGCCCAGCACACAGACCTTCACAGTAGACAGGCGCGGTTGCCTTCTGCTCCCACAACATAGGGCAAGAGATGAAGAGACGTGATCCCTGGGGCCAGAACAGTGTGAGTCACGGAGTGGATGTTTAAGGTTTGGTTCCACTGGGCCAGCCCCCAAGGGGCAGAGAGTCCCATGCGTGCTCTGTACTCTCATTCAGTTTATTTTCAGTGTACTTTTTGTCTGTGGGCCCAGGGCAGGGGCTCTTCTTCTTCTTCTTTTTTTTTTAATAACAGTTTGGCTAAGACACAATTCACATACCATAAAATCCACCATTTTAGAGCGTAAAACTCAGTGTTTTATGTTATTCAGAGTCATATAACTTTCACTGCTGTCCTATTTAGATTGTTTTCTTCATCTTGTGAAGAAACTCCTCTCGTGCCTGATAACCTCTCACCTACTTCTTCTCTCCGTGAATCTGCCTACTGTAGATGTTTCATAGAAGCGGAGTCCTACAATATTTGTCCTTCTGTGTCTGGCGTCTTGCACTAACATAATGGTGTTGGGGTTCATCCAGAGGAGAGCATGCAGCAGTGCTCCAGCCTTTTTATGCCAAGCTGACAACATCAGACTGACCATCACATCCTCCAACATTGTTCTTCTTTTTCAAGATTTTTTGGGCTGTTCTGGGCCCCTTGTGTTTCCATATGAAGTTTAGGGTCAGCTTGTTAATTTCTGCCTAAAAGCCAGCTAGGGTTTTGAAAGGGATTGCATTGAATCTTTAGGTAAATTTGAGAAATATTGCCATCTAAACAATATTAAATCATCCAGTCCAGGAATTCAGGGTGTATTTCGATTTGTCTAATTTCCTTAATTTCTCTCAACGATGTTTTGTAGATTTGAGTATTTAAGTCTTGCTCTTCTGTTGAATTTATTTCTAAGTATTTTATTATTTTTCGTGCTGTTAGAAGTGGAATTGTTTTCTTAATTTCATTTTCAGATTATTCGTTGCTGCTCTATGGAGGTAAAATTGATTTTTGTATGTTGGTCTTATATCCTGCACCCTTGCTGAACTCATGTATTAGCTCTAATTTTTTTTGTGAATTCCGTAGGATTTTCCATCCAAAAGATCATGTCATCTGCAAATAGAGATTGTTTTACTTTTTTCCTTTTCAATCTGAATGCTTTTTCTTTCTTTTTCTTGCCTAATTACTGTGGCCAGC